GTCGAAACTTGGTCGACGGGTCTTCGGACCGGGTCTTAACCCCGGAAGACCCACTTGGTCGACATTTGGTCGAAACTTGGTCACTTAGACGTCACTTGGACGTCACTTTTTTTTCCAAAAATTTTTTTTTCTATTTTTCCAAAAAAAAAATTTTTTTTCATTTTTCCAAAAACAAAAATTTTAAAGAAAAATCTAAAAAAAAAAAAAATTTCTAAAAAAAAAAAATTTTCTAAAAAAAAAAATTAAAAAAAAAAAAAAAGTCGAAACTTGGTCGACGGGTCTCCGGACCGGGTCGACCCGGGAGACCGGGTGTCGACATTTTAGTCGAAACTTGGTTGAGCAAACACATACACTGCATCTCATCATTTTAATGACTTTGGGCCTGATCCTGTTTCAAACATAAGCTCAATGATTACCTATACAGGTCAGCTTCTGGTTGTTGACACTCCACCACCGCCTGCAACGCCTCCAGGCGAGACACAGACTGACACACCGACGTCTCTGCCACAGAGTAGTGCGTCTGCAAACAAACGAACATGTAAATGAGGATGATAAACTAATTTACATTCCTGATTGTGACCCTAAGGGTTTCACTAAATAAGTTTCCTTTGAACGAGAGTTTTAAGGTTTTGGCAGATGTGATATTTTAGACTTTTTTGCAATGAATTTAATATGTAAAACACAGACCTTAAGGTTGGTCTCTCCATCAAGACTGGCAGTGGTGATGTGACACGTGCCGTCAGCACGATCTGATGACAGCAGCACCAGGTCAGCAGGGAATGTTTCATCTTTAGCCACACGAACAATATCGCCAACCTGGAGAGTGAGTGAATTAGTAGACTTTCATGTTCTCAACCACAAGTGCTACAGTCTGTGGGTTGACTTACAAACTTATGTATCTTTCCAAAATTGTGTTCCCCAAATGAAACTTGAATTATGTAAAAAATCAAAGGTTAATATAAGCTGTAGGTGGGCTGTCTAGGCTGCTGAATCATTTACCAAAAAGAAAATGTTGTTTAAAATTGCATTTAGCATTTTCCATTTAGCTTGTTTAACTTTGACTAACAGCTAGCTCCAGCTCTGTCTTTTACTGTGTAAACAGTAAAGTTTTAAGCTCGACACATACAAATGAGATGCAGAGACAAAGAACACTCATAACTGAATCTGTATCCTCGACACCTGGTGTCAGCATGTTTGTATGAATTTATTAAGAAGTTTGGGTAGCTGAACAAAGTTTGTTAAAATACCAGAGGTCAGAGAATAAGAAATGAGAACATTATTAGCCTTAATGTTGTTAACATTACCTTCTAATACAGTATATTAGAAGGTATATTCTACAGGACCAACACCAGGACTTAATGGCCTCTACTTACCCTGATGTTCTTTGATCTTGTTTGGACCAGACTTCCACTGCGAACCACAAACACCGGAGCCCCATTCACCTCATTGTCAGCCTTGTGTCTCAGCCAATCTTCATAGCCCTATTAAAACACTCAATCAGTGAAAAGCAACAAGTAACACAACCCTTTTTTAACTTTGATAATAATAATAAGAGATTATTTTTATATTTCACTGGGGATTCTCAAAATGACTGCTGTTCATTAGTAAGATCATGCGTTTTATTGACTGCTACCATGTGGTTCCTGGTACTAAGGACATTTTGGTTTCTCATATTATTCAGTATTTAAGACCTACAAACATCAACCACAAAATGCCAATGCATATTTTTTACTGTTTACATTTTTGGGACCAAACATTGTATAAAATAAAAAAAAAATGCTGAAATGGTTCCACTTTTGCTTTTATTGTGCAGCTACATAAATAAAACCTAAACATTTGGGCCAGGAAACAGGTAAGTCGTTCAAAAAGAGTATGTGTAAGCAGTGTAGATGACTATAGTTAACTTTAAACTAAACTAACAGGTTGTATGAAGTACATAGGAACAAAACTATTTAACTACAGCATAAACAGCATTTTCAAACAAACCTAGGAAGGACACACACACACGGCATCAGTTTCCGGGAGGTTATTATAAGGAGTTGAAAAAGACACGCAGTTGTATATATTTCAGACTTATTATCAAGCAGTGCTGCAGTGCTGCTTACTACTGTACGTCCTTGACTTTATGTAGACATTATACAGAAGTAACAGTGTGTTGATTTATTGTATAATTAATGCAGCAGAAAATGTGCCCCATGTTTTACTGCTGCTATTGTTCAATTGGAAGTAATTTGTAGAATGTATTGTTTTGTTTCAATTTGATTGGTGTATACATGTGTGCCAACAGTTACCAGTTGGTGGCCTATTGTTAATTGACTGAGAACATTGTTTTTTCCCCTTATGCACAAGTGAGAAAACTGCACAGTCACCTATTGTTACTTAATACAACACATTAGCTTCGAAGTGCATGGCTGAAAAATCCTGCATTCATCTCCGACTATTTTATTTACTGTCTAGCATTTGAAGAGACAAGTTAAGGGGCTAACACGTGAGCAGTTTTATTCCCTGGAGGATTCTGTGTATTGCTCTTGCAATGTTTCACTGCAGCATATTAATTTGTAATTTTGATGCATTTGTTTTTGTTGCAATTATTTATTACAAAAAGTTCCTACGAAATAGAACAGAAGGCTGATTGCACAAAAACAAGTATTAAATACTATTTCTGATGAAAATGATATGAGATAGTTCATGTTCAGCCCTAACTGAAGGAAGTTAGGTATCACACTATACAAAAGTTCCGTCTTTTAAGCACAAAAAAAGCAGAAGCTTTCATGTGTCTGTGCTCTCACCTGTTTAATAGCTGTGACAGTTATCACAAAGAAAAGAGGCAGACCGCTGGTGACAGGGGAGGTGGGGGTGTCTATCATTAACTGCAAAGACAAACAGAGAGACAGAGATGGAGTGACGTCATTGGCACTGAAGTGCAGTGCAGAAAATAAACAACAGCGACTCAGAGAGGAAGGGAGAGAGAGAGAGACAGAGAGACAGAGAGAGAAAGAGAGGGTTCATCCTTAGGGCAGAACACCTTAAAGACAGAAGTAGTGGCTGTTGTTTCATACAGGAAGTATGCATATGCACTTCCCTTTAAAGGTTAACTGTCATTTCAGAAGCACTCATACAAACAGAAATGGACATTGTTTAAAAAAAGCGACTTTTACAAGTCACTAAAAACCCAAGTAAGTAAAACTTAGTGGAGTGATTGAACTTGAGCAGAGCAGCACAGCAGTGCTTCTGTGGAAAGGTCTGTTTCTACTGTTCACCTAAGGCATGCAAATGGTTGCACACTAGTATGTAATCAACAGGTGTCAAGGAAGTGCTGAGAAAAGCACGAAGAGTGTATTCACTACTGCACTGCATTTATAAAAATATTGCAAATGTGCATGTAGAAACCACTATGTTAAACTACATAAATTGTTCATTAATTTGTGTAATTATTCCAATTAAAAGTTTATTGCATCTTTTACCCATGGTGAGAATATTACATGGACTGTATAAGAAAAACGCACTTCAAAACAACACCAGCTTCACCAAACACAAGGGAGTAAGTATATTTATGGTCTGTGGACAAAACAATTGTTTATTGTTATTAAAGTTTTTTGACCTTTTCAAAATTATTTGCATTTTATGGACAGAATAACTCATTACCTCACTCATTTGTCTTAGAAAATAAGACTTTGATGTAATTGTTTAGAGAGAACAGCATGCAGCTTTCAGCCAAAAAGCCATCCTAGGTGACGTAACAGTCGAGTCAGTCATGACAGAAATGTCATAATAATATCACGCTTTCCGCTCACTGGACTGACATTCGGCGGACCTCAGCTCCACTAACAAGCTACGGTGGGTGGTGAACAAAAATAGTATTTAAATTATTTCTATGTACAACTGGAGCCCAAACAAACAACAGAATACAGACTTAATCAACTTACAAAATACCACTGCACCACAAGCTGCCCGACGCTGGGCGAAGGCTCAAAGCCTGAAGCCCGCAGTAAAGTCTCACATACTCAAAAATGTGTGGGTGTAAGGTGTTAATGAAGGCGCAGACCTGCCTCTCTGCAGGGACCAAGAAGTCGCAAAATTGCTCACTCATGCACAAAGACACATTTGTAACGAGAACACATGAATTTGTGTCCAAGACAAGAAAGCCTAGACACACGCCTGTTGCCACCACGGTGTGATCGTGTATCAGCAAATAACAGTGAGCATTTGTGCTCTTGTGTGTGTTTATGTTTTACCTGTACAAGGAAGATAATGAGAAAATAGAAGTTGGCAATTCTTCTGAACTGCTCAAACAGATTCTTGGGGACAAAATTCCAAATGGTGTACTGCAAAAGAAGAAGAAGAAAGCAAATTTAGGAGTTGAAGAAAAAGACAAATAACTTTTATTATATAAACATTTGTAAATGTTTTAAAGTTTGTATCACAAAAAGGCTTGCAAAAAGTTAAAGAGTGTAATAATGCAGTTTGGGACATAATGCTAAGTCTCTTAATAGATTTGTCGTTTGATGATTTGGTCTGACCTCATTCGTTCGGCAATAGGAATATTTTTTTTCACCACTTTCCCTATGTCACAGTGCACGGTAATTAGAAGTTTTTACAACTTTTTTTTTTAAACTTTCATTCAGCAAATTGATGCCAAAAACTGATGCCAATTCACTCTCTTGTCATTCCCTCCATTTTCTTATTGATTAAGGCAAAACCTCTTCTCTGAAGCATAAAAAATAAATTGTTGTTAAAACTTTTGATGAACCAAAGATTGGATCGCTTAGCAACATCCGATACCTTGGATGAGATGATTCTGTTGTCTGAAAACCGTTGTGGGATGTAGTGGCCATGCTGCGGGAAACGGTTTGCCACATAAACCGTTCTGGTCTCGCTCTGGTGGGGTGGGTCAAAGCCCTGTGGGAGGGAGGAAAATGATGCATCAGAGAGAAACTTAATTAAGGAGAAACCAGGGACCAAATAATAAGCAGAAGTTTTAATGACAAAGTATTTCTTAGTATTATTGTGTTACAAATATCCTAGTTTAGTATTTTAAATGTCTCGCAGTCGTACTTCACAAACGCAAAACCTGTGTAGCTACCAAACATGTTTTGGTGAAATTACAAATTATTTCTGTCAAGCAATCTGGGAAAAAATTTGAATAAATAAAAACAATTAGGTTTTGTGCATTTGTTACGTCAGACCATGTCTCTGTCATGTACATATAAATACATGTGTTGTACATGTACAGTATTTGGGTTTTGGTTTCTGTCACCCTTTGTTTCACAACCTAACTGATCTATAACTGATGTTTCAGTCAGTGATTACACACTGCAAATGTGACATGACATGAATCGAACATCCACGCCCAAACACACACACACACACACAGACACACTCATGGAGGAATGTATCCGGGACACGTCACACAATCTCTTGCTCACACACTGCTTCTGTGCAGGGAGTGACGAGAACTCTCTAAAGCTCTACATCTGCTGCTGTTTTCTAACAGTTTTTTTATCCTCTGAATAATATCATAACACTTCATCACAACAATGACTGAATAACTTTTTTTTTAAATTTCATGGCACAATAAGCAGCAACCTTTTGTGTTATCTTTCAGTATGAGATCTACTTTGAGGCGTCCCTGTTCCTGCTGGTGATGTTGTAATTTCTTAGACAATAAATGATGACATGAAAGGGCACATAATTAATCTTTTGACATCTAAACCTTCAGAACAGAATTTCCATTTGGACAAATTACCTCCAGCATAACATTGTTGATTCACTTGCACACACTTAACAGTTCATTTTGCACAGTATTGACATGTAATGGATGCTTGTGAGAGAATCTGTACAAATTTTCCTCCGACTGACCACTAAATGATCTGCCTTTACAAGTCACAGCAAGAACATGACTCACAGTGTCAGACATAATGTGTTTTCCAGTATGTTTACTGAAACCACATTAGTCTCACTAGTCAGGCTGGGCAAACATTCAAAGAATTTCTCAACTGACTGAATCCCTTAACTAGAGAAATAGGCCAATAACGGAGGTTGAGTGAATCAGTTGGTAAAACAGCTAGTTTACACACTCCTGTATAGTGTATCCTGGTGTTTTGTGGTCACAAGTTACAGTTTCTGAGAACAGCTTTAATATTCTCAAACAGAGCAATTAACCTTCTTCTTTATTGCCCTTTTACCACACAGAAATGTCAGTGTTGCTTCAAACTTCTTCAGAAAAATGAGTTGAGACAACACCAGCAAAAAATAACATTGCTTGCAAATCCTTTACTAAAATATGGAAAAATAATATAACTAAATTAGAGGATGGGCATATATTGTTTCTAAGTAGTGACAATATGCATTTTTGCAAGCTTTAACTAATAAATAAATATATTATACCAGTTATCTTTGAAGATATGAACAAAAAATCATAGAGATGCATGTAAAAAGAAGGTGAATTTTAGACAGACTCTCCCACCAGCTCCCTTGGGTCATCTCCCAAACTTTAAACTGTAGTTGATGTCCGAGTGACACATTGTCAGCCAGAGAAACTCCAGTAAATTAATTGAATGGTCCACTGTTCTGCTCTCTGCATGCTTAAACGAAGTGTCACGCCTTGAGTGGATTCTTTAGAGATTCTCAGGAAGATGTAAATGGGTCTCATCTACAACTGGGAACTCTTCAAGGGCCTTCTGTGAAATTTACACAGACTTTTTACGCAGAAATTGTACATTAAAAAAAAAACTAAATATATTTGGATATATTTCCTTTGTAACTCAAGTTAAAAACAAACATGGCTCGTATCAAAAAGAGTTGGTATTCGATTTCTCAAAGCAGGTCTATAACAGCCAAATATCAATCTGTAGAAGTGGTTACACAACCTTAGCAATTTAATAACGCTGTTTTTGTTGTTGTTGGCACACTACAGGATTATAAAGAATTATAAAGTTTACCCTCAGATGACACCACAAAGCACGGATTAAATGTGCAAAAAAAAAAACATACAGCTAACAGGTCAACTGGAAAAAGACCCAATCTAATATGCTAGAAGGGTTACTGTGGCAGAGTGCGACACTAAAGACACAGCTGGAGAAATAGTGTGAGCTCTAACAATAATTGTAAATATAGCATATGCATAGTTAAAGTGGTCCTTTTCACAAAAATATAGTAATTAAACCTGTAGAAGTTAATTCTAAATGTAACAGATATACATTACTACTACTATTTTAAAACAACAAATACTTTGTGGCTGCTTTTGGGAAACTAAACCTAAAACGGAAATGAAGTCATACTGGATTTTAAAAGGTATATGCAACAGCTGACGCATACACAGTCTTACTACCAGGAAGGGGTTTCTCAAAACACATTTCCCCTTTGTCATAAGCAAAAATCAATAAGGTACAGAGAGACTTTAGGTCAACATGACTAACCAAACTTTTAAATGATTTCAACAGAAACACTTTAATCCTTGGAAGGTGAACATTTTGCACAACATCACACTACTCCACCCAGTTTATCAGACAGGCTCAGAGGAGACCGAGGTTTTAACTCATCTCTTCTTTAATCATCTGAGGTTAGATTGCATCTTAGTTAGTTAATGTAAGAGGTATGTGGAGAGAGGGTGTGTGTAACCTTAGCTGATCTAGTGTGTGCTAAGAGGACAGCAATGAAGCTAATTTTTATTAGAATGTTACTCAGCTTATATACATTTATTTATTTATATTTATTTTACAGCACTGAACATGATAACTAAAACCCAGTAACATTTTCCAGTATTAACGCCTACCATTAATCAAATCAATCAAAAGTTTTATGTTGCACCTGAGGCAACAAAACATAGTACAATACAATAATAGCTGTAACACATTGAATTACTGTTTCATTTTGTGCATGTGAGTCTCTCTCAGCGAGATAATGCTGGCCTCCAACATGAAACTAAATTTGTCACAGTACATAAATATCTGTGACCAGTCCATTATTAGAATGTTTCAAAAGAAAGTATAAGGAACAAGTTGATGATAATTAAATTAATACCATTCTGTGAATATCATTTGTTGTAATGCACCTCTTTTGTTAACA